TTCCCTGGAACATTAACTATAGGGTGGTTTCTCAAATTCTTAAACATACAATGAGTTCAAACTCCAGGGCAGTGGAAAAGCACAAGACACATTGGTTATCAGTCGGGAAACAAAGGCACATGGGTTATCAGTCGAGAAACAACATCTGCTTGTTTGTCCTACCCTGTAGTTAGCCATTCTAAAAATACTGTTGCCCTGAGATCAGACTTTTCTTCCTGGAACACTGGGTGTGGGGCTCTACCCAGGACAATGGAAACATTCCTGAGTTTAACTTAGCTGAGAACTATAGAAACCTGAGTTTAATTCAGCTGAGAACTATAGGGGCTATTTTAATTTTAATCTTTCAATGTCAACTGCATAATGCAGGTTGTTGATGAGTCTTCCTCCAGTCCTAATGCCCCATTCCTCCTCATAGAGTCCAGCCTCCTGGATATCCTGTTCTGCATATAGATTGTAAAGGTCTGGCATACACATTTCCTGACTTGGAACCATGCCGTGTTTCCTGTTCTGATGACTGCCTCCTGGTGCAAGTATAGGTTTCACATAACAAAATCAAGTGTTCTGGGATCTAGATTTTTCTTAATTTTCATATTCATGAGTTTTCATATTCAATTAAACACATATAGACATTCCTCTGATATGCTCTGCTTTAACCCGAGATCCATCTGACGTTGACCTTGATGTCCCTAGCCATGACCTCTCTAAACTCAGCCTGCACATCTGGAAGTTCTCTACTGATGTACTGTTCTAGTTGTTTCTTCATTATCTTCAGCAGAATCTAGCTGGAGTGTGATATAAGTGATACAGTTTGATAATTTCCACAATCTATTGGGTCATTTTTTTTTTTTTAGTGGCAATACATACAGATTACTCCCAGTCAGTTGGTCAGGTAGTTGTCCTCTAGATTTCTTAACATAACATGGTGAGCATGTACAGGGCAGCATCTATTTGCTGAAATATGTTAATTGGTATGCCATCAATTCCTGGGGCCTTGTTTTCTGCCAACTCCTTCAGAGCACTCTTCCTGGGTCATTCAACATTTTGCATTTAGCATCCTTAAGTATTGCAAATCAAGGGCTTTAAATTATTTTTAGTTTTTAAGCATAGGAAATGCTGATCAAGCTTGTCCCATATGATTTTCCAACTCCAGCTCCTTACACATTTCATTATAATTCTTTGTTTTGTCCTCTCATGCTGTCCTTGAAATCTTCTGTTAATCTTCTTCTTTATTTCTTCCCTTTGCTTTGGCTTTACTTTGCTTTGTCTTGGAAGTACAACTAGAGTATTCCTAGAGGCAAAAAGGTGAAAGTTTCTCACAGTCTTTGGGCATGCTGTCAGGAGCCAGACCTTGGAAAAAGATATCATGCTGGGAAAGACAGAGGTTCAGCAAAGAGAGGAAGACCCTCAAGATGGATTCACAGAGTGTCGGCAGCAGTGGTGATGAGAATGGTGCAGGTTGTAACTGACTGTTCATGTGGTTGCTGAGTTGCTAACAACAACCTTGATCCCCTTTTCCCTAACTCTAATAAGAACTCAAGGTAGGTTCATTCTGGAGAGGGTTAAACCAGGCTGATCCTTGGAGGCAAGGATTATGAAGCTTCATCTGGCATGCTTTGGACATGTTGTAAGGAGGGATTACTCCTTGGAGAAGGATGTCATGCTTGGGAGGGTGGAGGGACAGCACTGGAGAGGAAGACACTCTATGAGGTGAATTGATTCAGTGACTAGGGTAAAGGGGATAGGTGGGTCAGAGACAGAGAGATTGGCAAAGAACAGGGCAGGGTTTAGGACCGTTGTACATACGTGCCTGTAAGTCGCAGGTGATTTGACAGCACATAACAACATAACAACACCAACAAGTGTGTGTGTGTGTGTGTGTGTGTGTGTGTGTGTGTGTGTAACTCCATTGGCCTAATTGGCCTAGTGGGTAAGGAGTTGCAATGACAACCCAAAGGCAGGAAAATCCACAATTTATATGGGAAAGATGGACAAATCTCTTCCTCTAAATTTTGTAGTCTCTGAAAACTTGTTGACAGATCAGTGATGAGTCAATTCTGGCATAATGGAAATGAGAGTAAGTAATGGTAGGTAGATAGATAGAATGAGAGAAAGAGGAAGTTCTGGAGGCATAATACATAAGGAGGTGTACTGCTAACTCAGACCAACTTCTCATCAGTTCTTTTTTTTTTTTAATTATATTTTATTAATTTTCATATACATTTACAGAGATTTTGGGCTTCCACTCATTCATTGTTGCACTATTCTCTCTACCCTCCTCCCAGTTTGTTCTTGTCCAAATGCCACAGTGCTC